GCGGTGGCTGGAGATCTCCCAGAGCGACAACTAGTCTCCAGGTTATAGAGACCAGTCCCCCTGGAAAAAATGGCTGCTTTGGAAAGTGGACTCCGTGGCATTATCATAACCCCACGGAGGCCCCCCTCTGCCACAGTGTTGCCCTCCCCGGGTTATACCGCCACCACCACCCCAAATCTGCAGGGATTTCCCAACCCAGAGCTGACAATCCTGCAGTTATTCTTTACAACACCCCTCCCACCTTCTAACTTGGGATGCCAACTCTGGGTAGGGAAATACCTGGAGATTTGGGGGGGTGGAGTTTGGGGAGGCGAGAGACCTCGTCATCAGGACGCAACACTGTAAGAGTCCCCCTCCAAAGCTGCCCCTTTTCTCCAGGGGAACTGATCTCGAATGTCTGGAGATCAGGGGTCATTTGGTAGAAAAAAGAGGTGCAGGGGCTCATTAGCATAACTCATTCGCATAACTTATTTGCATATACCACACCCCATCATCACTGGAAGTGTGTCAGAAGGCAACACCCACCGCTCAGCCTCCACTGGAGTCTTTTGGATTGCTAGCTATTGGGTGGGAACGGGACGTGCAGATCTGTCCTCGCAGAGGAGGGAGAGCTTGTACCTGAATAAAACTTGGTCTTAAAAGTGCCACTGGACTGTTTGGGGGGGGGGGGCGCTCTGCAACTTACCTGGCTGCTTCTTGCTCTGACTGAGGGCTGCTGGGAGCAGGGGGTGGGGCTTGTTCCATGCGTCCGCCCCCTGGGCTCTTTACTGCCGGAGCTCCGCTCCTTTGCGCTCCTGCAGGAAATGACCCCTGCTGGAGATCAACTGGAATACTAGGCGATCTCCAGGCCCCACCTGGAGAGGTTAGCAACCGCATTTCTAACTGGGATAAAAGGACTCAAGAGATCTCGATTCCTGCTCGTGCTTCGACTCTCGGAAGCTCATATCCCGAAAACCTTGTGGGCTTCCAAAGTGCTCCAGGAGGAGATGGACCACCGGTGGGATCCGGCAGAGCTCTTATGTTTTTATGGGACTCTCTAGCTGGTCTTCAGCAGACCAAACACAGCTACACACACACACACACACACACACACACACACGAAACCCCCCCCCCTTCTCTCTCCCCCCCTCCCGGTGCTCCAGCCGGCCTGCCTCGGGCCTCTCGGCCAAGCCCGCCTGTTGGCCCATGCCAAGTCAGCAAGGGCTGAATCAGTGTTTCCATTATAAAACCCGTCTCTTTGGGGAACACGTCCCAGCTGTGAAATTTCACTCTTGCTTGCGAGACAAGAGCCGCCTGGCTCCGGCCCCCTGCAGGTGTGGAAAAATCCTTTTGTTTGGGGCTCCCTCCCAGGCACTGGGGAGGGGGGGAGAGAGAGCGGCCTTGCACTGCCAGGAAAATGTGTTTTGTTCTCTCCCCTTCGGTAGACCCGAGAGGAAGGAAACGACCCGAAAGACATTAGAGTTGGCGGCCCAGGTCCAGATGGGATGCTGCAGGCGGCTGGAGTTCTCTTGCCTTGGACCGAAGCTTGGGGAATTCCTGGAGCTTTGGGTGTGGCGCCTGCAAAGGGCAGAGTTTGGGGTGGGGGCAATGCTCCCTCTCAGCTGTGGAGTCCTGTGAGCAAAAATTCTGCTTCGTGAGCGACTGGCATGAAAGCTGTGAGCGAGCGATTGGGCTGCTGCGTAAATTAAGTTTGCGCTGGGGCCCTCCTTCCTGAGCGGAGACAAAAATGCGTGAGCCGGAGGCTAAAAAACGGTGCGCCAGCTCACACTAACTCAGCTTAGAGGGAACACTGGTGATCATTTGTTTGACATAGCTGGGAAATAGGTCCTCTTTTCAAAATAAGGTAAACCTATGAGAACAGAAACTCATGCAGATACGCAACAGGCAGCCTCCTTTCCAGGGAGGCCATTCTTGCTCTGTTGAATATTAAGCTGCTTCTCCTATTTTAATTAAGAACAGCAGCACCCTGCACATATCAGATGCTTCCGTTGCATAGATTTGCGTTACAAACAAATTAATCATCATAACAGAGACATCGGTGTGGGTTTCTAAACAATGCCGAAATAGAAGATTCTGTGAATTTAACACGAAACATACAGGGCCAGTAAGTACACCGTTGTTCACAAATTCACAGTAGTGCACATGTGTATCTACGCTATTCCACCCAGCCAGCTTCCAGTGTGGTTGAAGCAATTACCCACCACAACCAGGCCAATTTTCACATCTAAAGAGGAAACAGAATCTAGCAACTCGGGAACCAGTCACTGCAAACTGCAGATCTCGCAACTAGAGACCACTCCTGTAAGCTTTATTAAAGGATTGATGGTTTGGGTAGGAGGCAAAAGTCAATGCATGATGCACACTTCTTTAAATACATTGAAACAGATTTTGGTGTATTTGAAGAAGTGTGCATGCCCGTGAAAGCTTATACCACATGAAAGAGCCAGTTTGGTATAGTGGTTAGAAGTGTGGACTCTAATCTGAGAGGACCGGGTTTGATTTCCCCACGCCTCCATGTGCAGCTGCTGGTGTGACCTTGGGTCAGTCACAAGTTCTCTCAGAGCTGCTCTCAAGAGCAATCCTCAAAAGAGCTCTCTCAGCCCCACCTACCTCACAGGGTGTCTGTTGTGGGGAGGGGAAGGGAAAGGAGATTGTAAGTCGCTCTGAGACTCCAAGAGAGTCTCAGAATTAAACTTGGTTGGTCTTAAAGGTGCCACTGGACTCAAACTTTGTTCTGTTGCTTCCGACCAACACGGCGACCCACCTGATATTATGGGAGTCTCTTCGAAAGTCACTGAGATGCTTTCTCACATGTACATTGTAAATACAGGCAGGGAATTGGTAGAACTGGCCTGGGTCTCCTTCTAGACTGTTTTTCCATTATCTTTCCATCCACCACCACTCCCCTCTCCCTCCCAATTCCTTTTATAATATTTTGTATTACTCTTTAAAAATAATTTTAAAACACTGAGAAAATCGTATTTTTAAAGGGACTCTGCCACTAGAACAGACATTGAGCCAGAGCTGTGCAGGGCTTCAACGGTCGGATTAGGATCCGGAGGAGCTGGGTTCGAATCCCCACTCTTCCACGGAAGTTTGCCGGCTGACCTTGGGCCTGCCACGCACTCTCGGCCTCACCTGCCTCACAGGGTTGTTGTGAGGATAAAATGGAAAGATTGTTGGAAGCTACTTTGGTTCCGTACTGGAGAGAAAAGTGAGGTCTAAATGAAGTATATTATTTATTATTATTTTTTAAACCTTGCTTTTACTTGCCCCTGATGTAACTCCACCACTACTACCGCCCGCCGTGGGGTGCTGGCATTTTCTTCAAGGGCTAAGAAAGAGGATCAGGCCAGAGTTTCAAGTGCAAGTTGTGACAAACCCCCCCCGCGGGGGGGGGGGGGGGTGCAGGCCAAGGGCAGTTTCTGGTTCTCTGTTCCTCACTTTATTCTCACAACAACCCTGTAAGGTAGCAGTAGAAATAAGAAAGAGTCCAGCGTAACACCTTGAAGACTAACAAAATTTGTGGCCGGGTAAGAGCTTTGGTGATTCACTGCTCAATTCTTCAGATACCCATGAAAGCTCCCCCCCTGCCACAAATTCTGTTAGTCTTTCAGGTGCTCCTGGACTCTTGCTCTTTTCTACTGCTACAGACAGACTAACACGGAGACCAGTGTTCCCTCTGAGTGTGAGCTAGCTCACAGTTTTTTAGCCTCCAGCTTACAGATTTTTGCCTTAGCTCAGGAAGGATGGCTCCTGAGGAAACTAATCTATGCAGCAGCCAAATCGCGCGCTCACAGCTTTAACGCCAGTCGCTCACGAAGTAGAATTTCTGCTCACAAGACTCCACAGCTTAGAGGGAGCATTAGTGGAGACCCGTCTTGACCTATGAGGCAGGTTAGGCTGAGAGCAACGGAAACAAGGTCACCTGGCGAGATTCACAGCTCAGGTTTCCCCACATCTAGCTCAGTACTCTTAACCACTATGCCACACTGCCTCTTGACCTTCTGAAGAGGAGATTGGATTTATACCCCACCCTTCACTACCCAAAGGTGTCTCAGAGTGGCTTACAAACTCCTTTCCCTTCCCCTCCCCACAACAAGCACCCTGTGAGGCAGGTGGAGCTGAGAGAGATCTTGACAGAAACTGCTCTTTTTCAAGGACAGCTCTGACAGAACTATGGCTTGCCCAAGGTCATCCAGAAGGTGCAAGTGGAGGAGTGGGGAATCAAAACCGCTTCTCCCAGATTAGAGTCCGCGCACTTAACCACTACACCAAACTGGCTTTCAAGGGAAGAAGAGGAGGAGGAGGAGGAGATTGGATTCATACCCCGCCCTTCACAACCCAAAGGTGTCTCAGAGCAGCTTACAAACTCCTTTCCCTTCCCCTCCCCACAACAGACACCCTGTGAGGTAGGCGGGGCCGAGAGAGCTCTTGACAGAAACTGCTCTTTTTCAAGGACAGCTCTTATCAGAGCTACAGCTTGCCCAAGGCCATCCAGCCAGGTGCAAGTGGAGGAGTGGGGAATCAAAACCGCTTCTCCCAGATTAGAGTCCGCGCACTTAACTCAACCTAGCAGTTTGAAAGCAAGAAATTGCAAGTAGATAAATAGGTACCACTTCGGTGGGAAGGTAACAGCGTTCCGTGTGCCTTGGTGTTTAGTCTTGCCGGCCACATGACCACGGAAATGTCTTCGGACAGCGCTGGCTCTTCGGCTTTGAAACGGAGATGAGCACCGCAACCCTAGAGTTGGACTCGACTGGCTTTCGAGCAAGGGAACCTTTACCTTTACCTTACTTAACCACTACACCAAACTGGCTCTCAAGATACTATGAAGATACTATGAGGTCGCAGAGTTGCTTGGAATCCACCCAGAGAAGCAAAACTTCCTTTGGTCTGAGGACAGGCCCAGATGGACATTAACCCGAGAAGCCCCGCTAGGAACAATGCACTGCCGGCCAACAAAACGGAGTCACCACCGTTTGTGAAAACGTCTGCGTCACGTTTTAATATACAAGAATCAAACCATTTTACAATGTAAGAAAATTTAATACATACTCTATAAACAACATATTTACATCAGAAATCACTAGAACAGTGGCCAAGTGTGTTTTTTTTGTCACAAATATAAATTAATATTAATTACTGGTTTGCTTCCCCCTTGCCGTTAAGTTCACAGGGGTTCTCTTTTTCCCCTTTGAAATCCATAAGTTTGTGAGGAAAGGCTCTTTCCGTCCTCCTGGTTACTGGAGACACTGCAATGGATAGACCCCAAACTGTGCTGTGGGTCACTGAAATGTGTGGCGGCAACTCCATCCCCCCCCCCCCGACAAAGAATCCATTAATAAACCAGCCCAAACTGGTCACCAATTCAGCATTCATCTTACGGCAAAGGTTCCCCTTTACTTCCAAGTCGAGTGTTTTAACACCGTTTGTAGAGGGAGATCGGAAATAAAGACGAGTGTGATTTTTTTCCCCCTCCCCTTCCTCGGGCCTGCAGAACTGCAAGCGATCAGGGGCTGGAGGGGGGGGGCGTAGAAGAAGGTGTGGCAGAATCGGCATACCGAGTGATGGTAGCCATTGGTTAACAAAGTGTGTCCCCCCCCCCCCCCCATCCACCACCACACTTCCGATTCCAATACTGGATTTTTTTTTCAAGTGCTGACGGCTCCCAGCTTCGTGCTTAGTATTTCCCCTTCATCTGATACTCTCTGATCGTTCCTCGAGCCCGGACAAACCCTTCCCCATCAAGTGTAAACTTTTTCAAAAGTCGCAGGTTAAGCTTTTCACCCTTGCCGGTCACCCCATCACCTGTCTTCATTAAAAAAAAAAAAAGGAGAATCTCCTGATGTTTTCCGTGGGCTAGATTTCTGAAGGTTGTGAAACACCTACCCCCCTTTGAAATAATATCCTCTCCCCACTCAGGGAAACCCCTCGTCCACATCTGCAGAGCCGCCTGACTTAAATGCAACTCCCGTCCACGTCAGCTGGGCTTACTTCCCTGTAATACTATGAGGACTGGGTGTTCCTCAAACACACAGACATACACGCAAATCCCTTAATTGTCAGTCCCGCTGTTGGCGACAACGTTATGGCACGTAAATATCCTTCATTAAGACCGTGGCGTTTCAGGAAGGGGAGAGCCGTTCAGAATCAATTCATACTCTTTGCCAGCCACCCAGTCTGAAAGTAAGTGGACCCCTTTACACTTTTTTTAGTGTATTTCCTACTGTCGTGGCTTATTCAGATCACAGACGATGCCCGGATGCTGAGCGTCTCCCCGGTTGAACCCTCTCGGAAACACTCAGGGTTTTTGACTCCTGGACGCTTAACACTTTTGGAATTCACCTGGCCGCAGCGTTACCAGGCAGTAAGACGAGGGGCCACCCGGAAAGCAAAACACTGTGCTCTGGGTTTGTTTCGGGTTGCTTCCCGCTCGCTTGGCGGGAAATCGCAGGCCGCCACCTGCAGACAGGGTGCAGCAGCCAGCTTCAGAGCGTGAGTCTGAGGAACGCCCCAGCGCTTTGGGCCTTAATACATGGCTGGGTTCGTCAGAGGGGGCTCCTTGGTGTCCTACTCCTTCGGCGTCCACAAGACCAGCTAGCGTCAAATTCCCCGGAACGGCACACAGATTTGGGGCGTGGTCCTCCAACGGGCGTACAAACACGCAAGAGCCAGTGAGGATCTTCCTGAGCCGATGCCCGTGACGTTCCCCCCAGCGATCACTGATCGGCGGAGCGTCCGCTGCGGGCTTGCGCCTAACGGGCTGAGCGGTCCGCTTTGCTTCCGGGCCGAGCGACGCCCCCGCTTTGCTGTGTTCTTCCGTCCCCCCTAGAGGGCGCCGGTGTGCTCTCCCGGCCACCTTGAAACATTCGTGGGCATCTGACATCTGACATCTGTTTGGAATCGTGACCGTGTGCTTTCTCTGCCGCTGGGAAAGTCTCTCCGTGTCAGACGTCTGGGTCAGCCTTACAGCTGTTGTCGAGGGCAAGAGTGTGTGGGGGGAATGAGGGGGGCCCCAGCACTGGAACCTCTGTCAGCAAATGCCGAAACTTTCCCACAAAGCCAAACTCCCGAGCGCCCAGTCCTGCCTCTCGCCGCTGACCTGAAGGAGTGACTTAACCCACTTGTGGGGGACTCCTCTCTGTCACATATCGGGACCCCCTCTTCCTCACGTTCGGGGGACCCCCCCTCGAAGAACACTGTCTATACTTCCGCCTGCTGTGTACACAGCACCGTGACATGAAATGCAACTGGAAGGAGAACGAGACTAGGGTGAGGAATTCACGCCTCTTCCGGCTCCTTTTGGCATCGCATACGGAAGGCCCCCTCCCCCCCGTCTCCAAGGGCCACAGCACAACAATACTCCGTTTCGGTTACGGAAAGGCCGTTTCACCCAGCTCGGGGTTCTACTCTTCCTCATCAGTTCCCCCTCCCCCCCAGCCCCTATTTCATACGTTGAGCCGCTGCGGCGACAGTCCAGGTTCCCCCTCCTCCCCACACGCTCACCCCTCCATCGACGCCCCGACTCCTAACTCCAACGTCGCACAACTCCTTTCCCCACCCGCACCCTAAACAGCCGGAACATCCAAGTCCCGGGACCCGAGGCACGACTGCGAAACTCCCCGGCGTTCATGGGAGTCCATTCAATTCGGCGTTTGGGTGCATGAAAACGGATTTGGGGGGGGGAGGGGAGAACCCAACAGGCCTGCCCTTTCCCCACAGTGCGAGGAAAGCAACTCCCGGTGTTCGGCCCGCAGGGTTACGGGAGGAGAGATCGGGACAGGAATTCAGACGCCTCAAACCATGTCCGGCTCCTACGATCCTTCAGCCGCAAAGCCCAGCCCGACGGCAGCCTGTTTAGAGTCTCTGGGTCTGGGTCTGGTAAACCAACAGGTGCTGTTCACCTCGGATCAAGTGCGGTTCTCCCGCCTCTCCTCTCCTCCCCGGCCCTCTAGGTTTTCCGGGCGCTCCAGTTATAATCTGGAGTGTTCTTCTGTTCTAAAGACCTCTCCAGGGGCGACCGGTGGTCCAGAGGAGACTTGGGCTCATGTGGGGACTTCTGTGCTGGAGGGGAGCGAGGGTCCGAGACCTGGGAGTGCGGAAGGGGGAGCAGCTGTTTGTAATCTGCCGATTTGTCTGGGTGGAAAGACCGGTAATGATCCGAGGGGCCCTGGCCGTGGTACCCGATGGGAGGCCGGTGGTCAGACATCCTCCTGAAGTCCTGCGGGTGGTAATTCGGGGTCCTGAACTCATCAGACCTCCGCCGCTTGGAATCGTGGTGGTGCCTGGGTAAAAACAAGCACAGAAAAGCAATAAGCTCGGCAGGAGAGACAGAACCTCCCATACTTCACGTTCCATTCGGGGCTTGCCGACAGCCACTTGCCTGCTCACTGGTGGAGCATAAAAACCGACTTTAGGAGATTGGGAAGGGAGGCGGGACAAAACGTGGCTTCCCTTGTCTTTTAAGCATCAAATGATTAGGACAGGAAAGCACGGGAGAGCAAGCAGGCATTTGTTCAAAGGCTGACTTGCCAGTTTGGTTCAGTTTATTCACTGCGTTTGCTCAGTCATTTCCAACATGTGCTGACCAGTGTTCTCTCTAAGCTGTGGAGTCTTGTGAGCAAAAATTCTACTTTGGGAGCTACTGGCATTAAAGTCGTGAGCGAACGATTTGGCCACTGCATAAATTCATTTGCTCTGGAGCCATCCTTCCTGAGCGAAGACAAAAATGTGTGAGCCAGAAGCTAAAAAACTGTGAGCTAGCTCAGACTAACTCAGCTTAGAGGGAACATAGGTGCTGACGCACCGTTCCAGTATGAGGGACCGGCACGCTTGACGGCTCCTAGAAGGCCGTTAATTCTGCTGTTTGGTGTAGTGGTTAAGTGCGCGGACTCTAATCTGGGAGAACTGGGTTTGATTCCCCACTTCTCACATCAGCAGGTGCAAGTGGAGGAGTGGGGAATCAAACCCGGTTCTCCCAGATTAGAGTCCGCACACTTAACCACTACACCAAACTGACTCTCAGTGGCTCTCAGGGTAGTGACGGGTAGGGTATAACTCCAATCTCCTCCTCCTCCTCCTCCTGTACCCATGCCATCACAAGTAGCAGGGAACAGTCATGCCCAATGCAGATGCACACCAGAATTATTGGTGGAGGTCACCTGCTGCACCCCTGCATGTCATGTGAGTATGCAATGGGGTATCAGGCAGAAGGTCTTTCTCAAGCACTGCTAGGCAAGAAACCTGAACTGGAGATGCCAGGGATGGAAACTGGGACTTTCTGCATCCACAGCACATGGCTCTACCACTGAGGCACGACCTCTCTCATCAACACGGTATTGGAGAGCAATTTATTAAACACAGGATGCTGCCTTCCGTGGAGTTGTTCCATCCAGTCGTGCCTACTCTGACCGCCAGCACCTCTCCAAGGTCTCAGGTAGAGACATTCACCTACTATCGAGCTCTTTTAACTGGAGATGCCGGGGACCGAACCTTCGGCATGCAAAGCGCAGGGCTCCCCCGCAGGCCCACGGTCTCTCCGTATCCCTGCTGCGGGCATGCCTCCTTCCAACCATTAGCAAAAAGGGAAACTAGAACGCTGAGACAAACTGTCATAAACTATAATAAAATACTTTATCGTCTATTAGTGTCACCTCTTAGATCTATAAACATGCAGAAGCGTAACCTCCAAATGCCGGTGGTAACAGCTCAGACGCACAAATCAGTGCATGCAGGCACTCAACAAAATGTAAAGCCTTTTCTGTTCTCACAGGCAAACAATAATTTATACAGGTGCTATTTTTCTTGTCATCGTAGGCACTAAGTAATTAGTACAATGAGCAAAAAACGCAAGTCCCAAAAGCAAGTAATTACAGACTGGGCGTCCACTACAATACAATGCTAAAACAGGCTTCCAAAAAACTTGATTAGGAGCCTTTGCATGTAGATAATACTCAAGTAGATGGACCCGAGTCTAAACATCAACCAACAAGACACGTGTCCCTGGTAAGCGTCGTGTTTTGAAAACTTCACACCTGGTTTACTGTTGGAACCACAACATCCTGTCTAATGCATGGAGCCAAAGCTGCCTATTCCCTCGTGACAGAAAGAAAGCCTTCTGTTTTAATAAACAAATAAATTAAATGAGGCACACCCGTGAATTAGATTCCAGTTATTTGGTTCCTTCTTCAGAGACAGCTTGTGGGGACCAGTGTTCCCTCTAAGCTGAGTGAGTGTGAGCTAGCTCACACTTTTTTAGCCTCCAGCGCACACACTTTTGTCTCTGCTCAGGAAGGAGGGCTCCAGAGCAAACCGATTCATGCAGCAGCCACATCGCTCGCTCACAACTTTAATGCCAGTCGCTCACAAAGGAGAATTTTTGCTCACAAGCAGTGTTCCCTCTAAGCTGAGTTAGTGTGAGCCAGCTTGCAGTTGTTTAGCCTCCGGCTCACACGTTTTTGTCTTAGCTCAGGAAGGAGGGCTCCAGAGCAAACCAATTCATGCAGCAGCCACATCGCTCGCTCACAACTTTAATGTCAGTCGCTCACAAAGTAGAATTTTTGCTCACAAGGCTCCACAGCTTAGAGGGAGCACTGGTGGGGGACCCTGCCCTAAATGACTGGGGGTGGGGGGTAGGGAGTTATGTGCTGTGGCACTCCAGCTACAATGGAAGACGAGTCTCTTTCAACAGAACGAAGCGTGGGTCCAGTGGCACCTTTAAGCCCGACAAAGTTCCGTTCTGGGTGCAAACTCTCATGTGCTTCTTTGAGCACACAAAAGCTCAGACCCGGAATTAAACTTTGTTGGGACTTAAAGGTGCCACTGGAAGCTCTGTTTTGTTGCTTCAGACCAACACGGCTACTTACCTGAATCTAACTTGCAACTGAGCGAGCCTTTGGCTCTCCTGAGAGGCAAAAGAGGGGGGACACGGTATACCGGGGGGGGGGGGGGGGGAGGACGGCGGATTCAACCGCTACACATGCTAACTGGCTGCCCGAGGCCCGGGGGGGGGCAGCAGCTTACCTCTCGTAATAATCCCGGTGACCGCGGTGGTCTCGGTCGCTGTTGTACGGCTCGTACGGCCGCTTGCGGGACATGTTGTTCAGCCGGTAGTTCCCCGAGGTGCGGTGCGGCTCCCCGCGCAGCCGGCGGTCTCCGTAGTGGTGCTCCTTGTACCACTGCTGCTCGTACGGGTGGTGCCGCTCTCCGCCCCACATCTGGTTGGTGTTGCCCCCGTAGCTGAACTTGCGGTCCCTCGGCCACTCACCCCGGTCTGCACGACAGGAGGGGGGAAAGAGGGTAGCCCTGGGGGTCAAGTGTTTATCGAGCCATCTTCGGACGAACCCCCACCTGCAGGATGAGTGGTCCCCAAGGCGGTACCCGTGGACACCAAGGCACCCCCCACCACCACCACCAATGGGTTTCCTGGGACCAGTGTTCCCTCTAAGCTGAGTTAGTGTGAGCCAGCTCACAGTTTTTTAGCCTCCGGCTCTCACATATTTTTGTCTTGGCTCAGGAAGGGATGGCCCCAGAGCAAACTAATTGATGTAGTAGCCAAATCTCTTGCTCACAACTTTAATGCCAGGGGCTCACAAAGTAGGATTTTTGCTCACAAGACTCCACAGCTTAGAGGGAGCATTGCCTGTTGCCCATCTGATTCTCCCCCAGAGTGTCTTTCCCTGAAAGCAAAGAGCCGGTCTTGGCTTTCCGTTCACTCGCTTAGCCCGTCCCTTACGCGATCCGGAATATTATGGTGCATTCCTTTCCGATAACCAACCAACTCTACTCAAGTTTGAGAAGAATATGCAAGTCACGCGCTCCCTTCCAAGGCTGCGGTCAAACATCACGATAAATTGCAGTTTCTTTAAACACTGGTTTGGTGTGATGCTCGAACGAAGGGCACCGGTCTAGCTTTGGTGAGTAGGAGGGCTGCAAGCGGGGATTCTCTGACCGAGCTAACAGCCCCCTCCCCTTCTCCATTTTATTCTCTGGCATTCTCTCCCTTTGTAACCAACTTTCCCCATTATGGTATCAGAAGACGTGTGCCTGCACACGAAAGCTGATACCGAGAATTAAACTTTGTTGGTCTTAAGGGTGCCCCTGGACTCAAAACTCCCCCCCCCCTCCACCCGTTATGGTACGTCATACCTTAGACAGGGGTTTTTTGCTTTGTTTGCATTGTTTTCCAGTTCTATAATTCTAGTCCCCAGGGCTCTTTTTGTAGGAAAAAGCCCAGCAGGAACTCATTAGCATAACAGGCCACACCCAACAGCAGGAACTCATTAGCATATTAGGCCACACCCCACATGTTACCAGAAGTGTGGTCATCCAGCCAAACCCACCTTTTGCTTCTTATTCTGTTTACCTTGTTTGTTGTCAAAACCTAGGGCTTTTTTTTGTAGCAGGAACTCCTTTGCATGTTAGGCCACACACCCCTAATGTAGCCAATCCTAATGAGTTTCTGCTGTTGGGTGTGGCCTATTATGCTAATGAGTTTCTGCTGGGCGTGGCCAACTCAGGAGCCAGCCGGAACTCCGTTCCTGTGCGTTCCTGCCCAAAAATAGCCCTGCTAGTCCCACTTACAGGGTATCTTACGCTGTTTGAATCGTTTTCTATCTTTTGCAGCCTGCTTTGGCATTCTGGGATGTCATGCCTCAGACAGCTTTGCTATGTTTGCTTGCATCGTGTTCCAGTCCTGCCATTCTAGTCCCACTGCATTGTGATTGGATACCATAAGCTGTCTACTTGAATGGCTTTCAATTGTCTCCCCGCCCCCCTCTGCATTGTCTTCTGGCTTTGCAACCCACTTTGGCCTTATGGCACGCTCTGGCCCTAGACAGTCTTTGCTTGTTTTCTTAATGGCTCTCTTATGGCTGTCTGATTGAATTGTTTCCTACCTATGGTAATCAGTGTTCCCTCTAAGCTGAGTTAGTGTGAGCTAGCTCACAGTTTTTTAGCCTCCGGCTCACTCATTTTTGTCTTAGCTCAGGAAGGACGGCTTGGGAGCAAACTAATTTATGCAGGAGCCCAATCGCTCGCTCACGACTTTAATGCCAGTAGCTCACAAAGTAGAATTTTTGCTCAGAAGACTCCACAGCTTAGAAGGAACATTGATTGTAACCTGCCCCGAGTTTCAGCAAGGGAGGCGGGCTGCAAACAAAAGTAAACGGAAATGAAACCAGAAGCCCCACTCCCATCTGGGCTGCGTGGGTCAGGGAGGAGACGCACGGGCAGGAACCCTTCCGGGGGACGCTTCACCAGCCCGCCGTAGTGAGGGTCCCAGAGGCCTAAAAGGAAAAGCGGGTATCCCTTGCCGCTCCCTCACCTGCATTACTGAAGTGCCTCTTGTTTGGGTGGCTGTAACTGTCCCTCTGGTGCCCGTGCATCTGGGTGTGGTGGGTGGGGGGCGGGTGGAACTTCTGCGGGTGGGGGCCGTGGGAGATCTGGGGGATCGCAGCATCGCGGCCGGAGCCGGAAGGGTCCTGAGCTTCTTCCCTCCCGCGGCCTCTTCTTTCTTCCGTTGCTGCTGCTGGAGCCGGGCGGGGGGAGGGAGGGGGGAGAAAAGTCAACGGTGAATGGGAACTCAGAGCCTGAAAGGTTACCCGCTCTGGACAGATCTATGGGACAAGGGAAGCTGCCTTCCGCTGAGTTAAGAGCGCTGGGTCTGAGCTCAGTCCGGTCTGTTGAACAGCTTGTGTGAGGAAGGCAGCTGATAGATCAGTAACAGCTTAGGGGGGGCGGCTGAGGTTCCCCAGATACTTGACTAAGCATTCGGGCAACAGAAGGCAAAGCTATGGTGCGGCTGTGCGACGTCCCTTGTTAGGGGGGTGTAATAATAAAAAGGCCGTCTTCCAAAAGTCAAACTGTTCACTGATCTCAGCAGGGAAGGAAAGGGGGGCGGGGACACATCAAGAAGGGTCCCTCTGGCTCCTGAATTCCTCCCAGTCTCATCTGAATTTCTGGAACGCCACTCCCCCCCCACTCTCCTTCGTCTACCCCGTCCCCAGGGGTCATTTTGTAGAAAAAGAGGTGCAGGAGCTCATTAGCATAACTCATTAGCCTGACTTATTTGCATATGCCACACCCCCTGACATCACCGGAAGTGTGTCAGAAGGCAACACCCACCCCTCAGGCTCCACTGGACTGTTTTGGACTGCTAGCTAGTGGGGGGGGGGGACGTGTAGATCTGCCCTCACAGAGGAGGGAGAGCTTGTACCTGAATAAAACTTGGGCTTAAAGGTGCCACTGGACTGTTTTGGACTGCTAGCTAGTGGGGGGGGGGGACGTGTAGATCTGCCCTCACAGAGGAGGGAGAGCTTGTACCTGAATAAAACTTGGTCTTAAAGGTGCCACTGGACTGTTCTGGTTTGCTAGGTATGGGGGGATGTGCAGATCTGCCCTCACAGAGGAGGGAGAGCTTGTACCTGAATAAAACTTGGTCTTAAAGGTGCCACTGGACTGTTTTGGATTGCTAGGTATGGGGGGATGTGCTGATCTGCCCTCACAGAGGAGGGAGAGCTTGTACCTGAATAAAACTGTCTTAAAGATACCACTGGACTGTCTTGGATTGCTAGGTATGGGGGGGGATGTGCAGATCTGCCCTCACAGAGGAGGGATAGCTTGTACCTGAAGGCGGGCCGGGGGGGGGGCTCTGCAACTTATAGGTTGCTTCTTGCTCCTTGTGGCCCGACTGAGGGCTGCTGGAAGCAGGGGGAGGGGCTTCTTGCATGTGCCCGCCCCCTGGGCTCCTTACTGCCGGAGCTCCGCTCCTGTGTGCTCCCACAGGAAATGACTCCTGCCTGTCCCTTCCCGTCCCACATGCCCCGCCTGTCCCCCAGCTCACCTCCTCTTCCTGGGACCGCTTCTTGTGAGCCATCTTGTATAGCTTGTGTAGCTTCCTGGCATCAAACTCCGTGAACTTGGACACAAAGATCCACAGGTTCCTGGAAGGAGGTAAAACGGAGAAGCGTTGAACGAGTCTGGATTTCCTTCTCTCTCCGCCGGCCTTTCGGAGACCTCCAAACCACTGGAAATCCTCGGCAGACCGCCCACCCCTTCTGAGATTCCACCAGGCACTTTCAGAATGAGCGACAAATGTGTTTTGCGCAGCGAAGGTGACAAGAGTCGGATGAGGATCCAGGAGACCGGAGTTCAGATCCCCGCTCCACAAGGAAGCTTCCTGGTCCTCTTTCTGTATCACCACGGAATTGTCAAAATAAAAGGGAGGTGGTTGGGCGGCGTGATATGCTACTCTGAGCTTCCTGGAGACTCACACCGGGCTGCCTCCTCCCGTCTCAGGATCCTCCTTCCTTGCCCTGCACAGGGTGAAGCCCCCCCCCTTGGCGCCAGGAGGAAAAGGGAAATCCCATAAGCCACCGGGCCAACCAGGATTTTTTTCCCAATGATCTTAACTGGCCAACCCATCTCTGCCTTGGAGGAAATCTACACAAATCGAAAGGGAAACCAACGTTCCTAGAATGTTGTGCCCCGCGTGCAGCATTCCCTGCACTTGCGCCATGAGGCTGCAGAACTGCGGAACCCAGGAGAGACGGACCTTCGTCAAGTGACCGTGGGAAAGCCCGGGGGCTGCCGTGTCACCGTGAAGTTCCTTGTGTGGATCTCGCCTCTGCCAAGAGCTCAGTGGCCGGCCTGAGCCAAGCCTCATCTCCCTGCCCTTCCAGCAGCGCCACCCTACTGCGCACGGCTCTTTCAGGCCATGTCCAAAGACCAAATGCCTGAAGCGCTTTCAGTAAGACTGACGGCAAGGCTGTGCGCGGAGGGAGAGTCTGCGTTTTGCAAAGGCCTCCATGAACGGAGTTCGCAAAGCATCTCTGCATCGGTCCGCAGGGAGAAACCCGCCGCCTACTGCAGCCGTCTTTTGAATCTCTGCCCCATACCAGGACTCTTTTTGTAGCAGGAACTCCTCTGCATATTAAGCGACACATCTCTAAGGTAGCCAATCCTCCGAGAGCTTACAGAGCTCTTCTTACAGGGGCTACTGTAAGCTCTTGGAGGATTGGCCACATTAGGGGGAGGTGTCGCCTAATATGCAGAGGAGTTCCTGCTACACAAAGAGCCCTGACAGGGCTCTTTTTGTAGCAGGAATTCCTTTGCATCTTAGGCGACACATCCCTAATGTGGCCAATCCTCCAAGAGCTTACAGTAGCCCCTGTAAGAAGAGCTCTGTAAGCTCTCGGAGGATTGGCTACGTTAGGGGTGTGTCGCCTGATATGCAGAGGAATTCCTAGAGCCCTGGATACATAGTCTACAGGGCTCTTGTTGTAGCAGGAATTCCTTTGCATCTTAGGCGACACATCCCTAATGTGGCCAATCCTCCAAGAGCTTACAGTAGCCCCTGTAAGAAGAGCTCTGTAAGCTCTCGGAGGATTGGCTACGTTAGGGGTGTGTCGCCTGATATGCAGAGGAATTCCTAGAGCCCTGGATACATAGTCTACAGGGCTCTTGTTGTAGCAGGAATTCCTTTGCATATTAGGCGACACACCCCTAACGTAGCCAATCCTCCGAGAGCTTACAGAGCTCTTCTTACAGGGGCTACTGTAAGCTCTTGGAGGATTGGCCACATTAGGGGGGGTGTCGCCTAAGATGCAAAGGAATTCCTGCTACAAAAAGAGCCCTGTCAGGGCTCTTTGTGTAGCAGGAACTCCTCTGCATATCAGGCGACACATCTCTAACGCAGCCAATCCTCCGAGAGCTTACAGAGCTCTTCTTACAGGGGCTACTGTAAGCTCTTGGAGGATTGGCCACATTAGGGGGAGGTGTCGCCTAATATGCAAAGGAATTCCTGCTACAAAAAGAGCCCTGTCAGGGCTCTTTGTGTAGCAGGAACTCCTCTGCATATCAGGCGACACATCTCTAACGCAGCCAATCCTCCGAGAGCTTACAGAGCTCTTCTTACAGGGGCTACTGTAAGCTCTTGGAGGATTGGCCACATTAGGGATGTGTCGCCTAAGATGCAAAGGAATTCCTGCTACAAAAAGAGCCCTATAATATCTGCCAGGGCTCTTTTAACTCCTCTGCATATTAGGCGACACACCCCTAACGTAGCCAATCCTCCGAGAGCTTACAGAGCTCTTCTTACAGGGGCTACTGTAAGCTCTTGGAGGATTGGCCACACTAGGGTGTGTCACCTAAGATGCAAAGGAATTCCTGCTACAAAAAGAGCTCTGTATCTATCTCCAGGGCTCTAGGAACTCCTCTGCATATTAGGTGACACACCCCTAATGTAGCCAATCCTCCATGAACTTACAGAGCTCTTCTTACAGGGGCTACTGTAAGCTCTTGGAGGACTGGCCACATTAGGGGGGGGTGTCGCCTAAGATGCAAAGGAATTCCTGCTACAACAAGAGCCCTGTATCTATGTACCCAGGGCTCTAGGAACTCCTCTGCATATCAGGCGACACACCCCTAACGTAGCCAATCCTCCGAGAGCTTACAGAGCTCTTCTTACAGGGGCTACTGTAAGCTCTTGGAGGATTGGCCACATTAGGGGGGGTGTCGCCTAAGATGCAAAGGAATTCCTGCTACAACAAGAGCCCTGTAGACTATGTATCCAGGGCTCTAGGAATTCCTCTGCATATCAGGCGACACACCCCTAACGTAGCCAATCCTCCGAGAGCTTACAGAGCTCTTCTTACAGGGGCTACTGTAAGCTCTTGGAGGATTGGCCACATTAGGGGGGGTGTCGCCTAAGGTGCAAAGGAAACTCCTGCTACAACAAGAGCCCCGAGTCACAGCATCGCACCAAGCCCTGTCTGCAGAGCTCTGCCCGGGGTTTTTTTGCGGGATGGCTGACCTTCTCCACAGCTTGATGAGTTCCTGGTCGGAGTAGGCTTTCAGGCACTCTGAGATGCGGTCGCCGATCTTCAGCAGGCAGCTCCGGGTGTGCTCCAGCTGCTCCTGCACCGTCAGCCCTTTGTCGGGCTTGTCCAGCTGCTTCAGCGCCTTCTTGACCGGCCGCATCCGCTCTTTGCACTGGGAAAGGGGGACAAGGAGAGGGTGGGGGTGGAGCCATCTCCGGCCCTTCCTGGCCCCCTCGCCTGCCGTGCAAGGTCAAGACGGGCTTCAGGGTGGGCGGAGGAGAGCCACCGAAGGAGAGATTTGGGAAGACGCTC